TCTTCCGCAGACTAAACAATCCCAGTTCCCTCAGCCTCTCCTCATAAGTCATGTGTTCCAGTCCCCTAATCATTTTTGTTGCCCTCCGCTGAACGTTTTCCAATTTTTTCACATCCTTCTTGTAGTGTGGGACCCAAAACTGGACACAGTACTCCAGATGAGGCCTCACCAATGTCAAATAGAGGGGAATGATCATGTCCCTTGATCTGCTGGCAATGCCCCTACTTATACATCCCAAAATGCCATTGGTCTTCTTGGCAACAACGCCACACTGTTGACTCATATCCAACTTCTCGTCCACTGTAACCCCGGGGTCCTTTTCTGCAGAGCTGCTGCCTAGCCATTCGGTCCCTAGTCTGTAACGGTGCATTGGATTCTTCCGTCCCAAGTGCAGGACTCTGCACTTGTCCTTGTTGAACCTCATCAGATTTCTTTTGGCCCAATCCTCTAATTTGTCTAGGTCCCTCTGTATCCTATCCCTACCCTCCAGCGTATCTACCTCTCCTCCCAGTTTAGTGTCATCTGCAAACTTGCTGAGGGTGCAGTCCAGGCCATCCTCCAGATCATTAATGAAGATATTGAACAAAACCGGCCCGAGGACCGACCCTTGGGGCACTCCACTTGATACCGGCTGCCAAATAGACATGGAGTCATTGCTCACTACCCTTTGAGCCCGATGACCTAGCCAGCTTTCTATCCACCGTATAGTCCATTCATCCAGCACATACTTCTTTAACTTGCTGGCAAGAATACTGTGGGAGACCGTGTCAAAAGCTTTGCTAAAGTCAAGGAACAACACGTTCACTGCTTTCCCTCATCCACAGAGCCAGTTATCTTGTCATAGAAGGCAATTAGGTTAGTCAGGCATGACTTGCCCTTGATGAATCCATGCTGACTGTTCCTGATCACTTTCCTCTCCTCTTAAGTGCTTCAGAATTGATTCCTTGAGGACCTGCTCCATGATTTTTCCAGGGACTGTGGTGAGGCTGACTGGCCTGTAGTTCCCAGGATCCTTCTTCTTCCCTTTTTTAAAGACGGGCACTACATTAGCCTTTTTCCAGGCATCCGGGACCTCCCCCGATCGCCATGAGTTTTCAAAGATAATGACCAATGGCTCAGCAATCACATCCACCAACTCCTTTAGCACTCTCGGATGCAGCGCATCTGGCCCCATGGACTTGTGCTCGTCCAGCTTTTCTAAATAGTCCCAAACCACTTCTTTCTCCACAGAGGGCTGGTCACCTCCTCCCCATGCTGTGCTGCCCAGTGCAGTAGTCTGGGAGCTGACCTTGTTTGTGAAGACAGAGGCAAAAAAAGCATTGAGTACATTAGCTTTTTCCACAACCTCTGTCACTAGGTTGCCTCCCTCATTGGGTAAGAGACCCATACTTTCCTTGACTTTCTTCTTGTTGCTAACATACCTGAAGAAACCCTTCTTGTTACTCTTAACATCTCTTGCTAGCTGCGACTCCAGGTGTGATTTGGCCTTCCTGATTTCACTCCTGCATGCCTGAGCAATATTTTTATACTCTTCCATGGTCATTTGTCCAATCTTCCACTTCTTGTAAGCTTTTTTTTTGTGTTTAAGATCAGCAAGGATTTCACTGTTAAGCCAAGCTGGTCGCCTGCCATATTTACTATTCTTTCTTCACATCGGGATGGTTTGTCCCTGTAACCTCAATAAGGATTCTTTTAAAATACAGCCAGCTCTCCTGGACTCCTTTCCACCTCATGTTATCCTCCCAGGGGATCCTGCCCATCAGTTCCCTGAGGTTGTCAAAGTCTGCTTTTCTGAAGACCAGGGTCTGTATTCTGCTGCTCTCCTTTCTTCCCTGTGTCAGGATCCTGAACTCGACCATCTCATGGTCACTGCCTCCCAGGTTCCCATCCACTTTTGCTTCCCCTACTAATTCTTCCCGGTTTGTGAGCAGCAGGTCAAGAAGAGCTCTGCCCCAGTTGGTTCCTCCAGCACTTGCACCAGGAAATTGTCCCTTACACTTTCCAAAAACTTCCTGGATTGTCTGTGCACTGCTGTATTGCTCTCCCAGCAGATATCAGGGTGATTGAAGTCTCCCATGAGAACCAGGGCAAGTGATCTAGTAACTTCCGTTAGTTGCTGGAAGAAAGCCTCATCAACTTCATCCCCCTGGTCCGGTAGTCTACAGCAGATTCCCACCATGACATCACCCTTGTTGCTCACACTTATAAACTTAATCCAGAGACTCTCACGTTTTTCTGCAGTTTCATACCAGAGCTCTGAGCAGTCATACTGCTCCCTTACATACAGTACAACTCCCCCACCTTTTCTGCCCTGCCTGTCCTTCCTGAACAGTTTATATCCATCCATGACAGTACTCCAGTCATGTGAGTTATCGCACCAAGTCTGTGTTATTCCAATCACATCATAATTCCTTGACTGTGCCAGGACTTCAGTTCTCCCTGCTTGTTTCCCACGCTTCTTGCATTTGTGTATAAGCACTTGAGACAACTTGCTGATCATCCCTCTTTCTCAGTATGAGGCAGGAGCCCTCCTCTCTCGCGTTCTCCTGCTCATGCTTCCTCCCGGTATCCCACGTCCACACTTACCTCAGGGCTTTGGTCTCCTTCCTCCGGTGAACCTAGTTTAAAGCCCTCCTCACTAGGTTAGCCAGCCTGCTTGCGAAGATGCTCTTCCCTCTGTCCGTTAGGTGGAGCCCATCTCTGCCTAGAACTCCTCCTTCTTGGAACACCATCCCAAGGTCAAAGAATCCAAAGCCTTCTGTACGACACCACCTGCATAGCCATTCATTGACTTCCACAATTCGACGGTCTCTACCCAGGCCTTTTCCTTCCACGGGGAGGATGGACGAGAACACCATTTGCGCCTCAAACTCCTTTATCCTTCTTCCCAGAGCCACGTAGTCCGCAGTGATCCACTCAAGGTCATTCTTGGCAGTATCACTGGTGTCCACATGGAGAAGCAGGAAGGGGTAGCGATCCGAGGGCTTGATGAGTCACGGCAGTCTCTCCGTCACAGCGTGAATCCTAGCTCCTGGCAAGCAGCAGACTTCTCGGTTTTCCCGGTCTTTTAGATGGACTAAAAAGAACTAAGAAAAGAGCAACAAGTATCAGGTGGTTTAAGGGGAGGATTTATCAGGAAAGATTAGAGCTAAATGCATATAGTTTGGCTAAGAAGGAGCAATTAAAGAGGTCACAGAAGAACAAGCAAAGGACAGAATCCTGGAAGCAAGAGAAGGATGTACAAACTTTGTACAGGTATTTGTCAGCTGTAAACACCAGAGATTTCAGAGGAATTATTTGAAGATGATATAAGTAGATACAAATGAAAGTAAAGGGATGATATTAGCAAAGGAAAAATTTAGGTTCAGTATTAGAAAAATCTTCCTCTAGTTTGAGGACCTCCTAGTACACGGGTGGGCAAACTTTTTGGCCCAAAGGCCACATCGGGGTGGGGAAACTGCATGCAGGACCATGAATGTAGGGCTGGGGCAGGGGGTTGGGGTGCTGGAGGGAGTGCGGGGTGTGGGAGGGGGTGTGGTGTGCAGGAAGGGGCTCAGGGCAAGGGGTTGGGGCAGAGGAGGGGTGTGGGGTATACAAGGGGGCTCAGGGCAAGGGGTTGGGGTGCAGGAGGGGTGCGAGGTGCAGCAGGCGGCTCAGGGCAGGGGGTTGGAGTGCAGGAGGGGTGTGGGGTGCGGCAGGGAGCTCGGGACAGGGCTGGGGTGCAGGAGGGGGTGTGGAGTGTGGCAGGGGGTTGGGGCGCAGGAGGAGTGTGGGAGGGGGCTCAGGGCAGGGAGTTGGGGTGCAGGGTGCAGGAGGGATGCGGGGTGTACAAGGGGGCTCAGGACAGGAGGATGGGGTTCAGGAGGGGTGTGGGAGGGGGCTCAGGGCAGGGGGGTGGGGTGCAGGAGGGGTTCAGGGTGCAGGTTCCGGCCCGGCACCGCTTACCTGGAGTGGCTCCGGGGTGGCAGCGGCGTGCAGGAGGGCCAGGGCAGGCTCCCTCCCTGCCTGCCTACCCTGGCCCCGTGCCGCTCCGGGAAGCGACTGGCACCACGTCCCTGCAGCCCCTGCGGGAGAGGGGGCAGAAGGCTCTGTGCACTGCCCTTGCCTGTGGGTACCTCCCCCAAAGCTCCCATTGCCCAGGAACTCACAGGCAAGGGCAGTGCGCGGAGCTCTCTGCTCCCCTCCCCAAGGGGCTGCAGGGACGTGGTGCCGGCCGCTTCTGGGAGAGGTGCGGGGCCTGCGGCGCCACGGGGGTGGCAATCCTGAGGGTCGGATCCAAAGCCCTGAGGGGCCGGATCTGGCCTGCGGGCCATAGTTTGCCCACCCCTGTCCTAGTAGAATGTGGAATCTCCACAAGGAAGTGGCAAAGCCCCATTGTTTGGGACACTTACATTCTCTGGGTCAATCTTTAGTAGCTTCTACTGTGGGAAACAATCTTACATTGTCAGGGGGTGCTGGAGATGACAATGGGGGCCTTTCAGCTCCAGCCGCTAGGAATGGTCGTATCTGAGATGGCTTACATTCTTACAGAAATTTGATGCAGAATAAGATAAAGAGCTGCACCACCAATTTACATGTTCTAATCCAGCCCAGATTAACAGTGATCAGAAATTATTCTTTCCTAGTTCTTCAGTGGTCCACATGACACAAGTCTAGTGGCCTTGATCCAGTTGCCAGTGGGCATCCACATCACAAAAAACACCACCCGAAAACAGCCGCTCCTGAGAGTTAGGCTTAGGGTTTAGTCATGACGAGATGTTCCTTTTATCCCTGGCTCAGGAAGATTGAGGCACTTTAGCAGAGGAGTTTGGGAAAGATGGCACTTGCTGCTGTTTATGCCATAACTGTGGCTTCCCGGGTTTGGAATCAGGACCTTTCAAGACCAATACATTTCATTAAAAATACCTCCCAGAATGTACTTTCAGTACCTTACACATGAGGTGGGTACAATAAATGACTTTCTTTTTTGTCACTGCTGGAAAATGTCACACCTGTTCTAGTGGAGACAGATCTTTCTTTCCATTGCCACTCCACTCATCATTTCCTTAACAGCACTGTCTTGTTCTTCACTGTGAAAACACATGGAATTCTGCCGTTAAGAACATCCTGCTGATAATAGCTCATCTTAATTAATTAGCCTCTTACTCCACCTTTTCATGTTCTCTGTATGTGTATATATCTTCTTACTATATGTTCCATTCTATGCATCCGATGAAGTGGGCTGCAGCCCACGAAAGCTTATGCTCAAATAAATTACTAAGGTGCCACAAGTACTCCTTTTCTTTTTGCAGATACAGACTAACACGGCTGCTACTCTGAAATAATAAATAGTAGCCAATAACAGGCCAAATAATGAATCCTTGGTGAAACTCTATTGATGTCAATGGTTACACTAGAGATGAATTTGGTCCAATCATTCTAATAATCAGTACAAGCCACAGAGAAGCATTATTTCCACTATTGCTGGAAACTTTCTCACCCATCACCATTGTGTTCACTGCTTTCTGCTTCACATGTGCTTTCCTCTCTCTGCTGGTGTCTTGAGAATGTACCTGTGGGTGGCAATTTTCACCCTCAAGCCACATATTGATTGCTAAGTCTGGATCAAAGTGGGGGGGTGTGGGGGGACGACACAGTGGAGTTTTTGGCTTTGGAAAGCTGAGCTCAACCTAACATCTGACTTTTTTTTTTTAGCATAAGTTTGTGAAAAGTGTGTGTGTAGATATATATATATATTTAAATGTGGGTGACTAAATCCTCCAACCCCTGTTTGAAAAAAATCCAGTGGTGAAACCAGTGCTAACTGACTGAGTAAGGCAAGAGTGACTCTTTTGTAGAGTCTGTAATGGGCTGTGGACACCCTCTTCAACTTCCCAACCAGGACTTAAATAACTGAAGATGAACCTAAACTCAGAGAATCTTTCCCAGTTTTTACACTGAGCTCATTGCATGCAGGGGAAGGACTTCTGAAGGTTAGTGAGTGCTGTGTGAATAACTTGTGCCGTCCATCAGTGTTTACTAAATATCATACTTTGATGATGACTCAGTGCTTTCAATACATGCACATGGCTTCCACAAATACCAGGGAAAGCAGCAGTCCTAAAGTTGCTTCTTGGGGTTTCTGGTCTGAGATGCTACTTGGCCTGCTAGCACCAGCTTCTTCTTTTCACAACGTTGCTTTTGGAAAGTAGTATTCTCAAGGAAGGAGTATTACATTTATTATCAAAGGACGTATTCTCCCAGTCTCTCTCTTCCCTATGGACAGCAATGTCCATCTTGATGACCCCACTGGCCCTCAGTTCCCCTCACTCACCCACTTATGTGACTGCCATCCTGGATCAGCTCTCTGCAGAGGTCATTCACTCAACCTTGGAGTAGCCTGCAAGGTGTGTACACAACGAGGATGTTGACGTGTCTCATTTAACTCTTGTTCTCCCAACCTTTACTTTGTTAGCACTTGTTATGATCTGCCTAATTGCCTTTGGAGCAGGACCATGTCTTTATATGTCTTTACACAGCACCCAACACAATGCAGCCATGACCTGGATTATGCCCCAGGCTGAATTACTTCTCTGCCCTGTTGCATGTTTGTCACCTGGCTGGACCACTGTCAGTCTCCTCCCATCACACAGGTATCCCAGACCTAAGGAGAACTCTCTGTGGCCTCCAGAGAAAGGATGTTGCTATGGATGCAACTGACTCTTTTCCCACATGGAAGAGGGAGAGTTGTGTGCAAAGGGGGTCCTGGCATGTCTTAGGGACACAATCAAGCCCACAGTTCCCTTTTCATTTCTGTTAAGTGATTTCAGTGGTATTGTTACAATTTATTTCTATGGAGCATATTAGGAACTTTTCAAACCACAAAAGACACAGGGCTTGTCTACATGATCAGAGAGCGCATGGCAAGCCGGGCTGTAAATCTACACACTGTGTAGACACACTGTGCCGACCTTTTCTACAATGGGATTCCCCTTTACAGGGGTGGAGGGCCCCAAGGCCAGCTGCTGCTTATAGAAATCTTGACAGCACATGAGGATGTTGCTTTTGTGAGGATGGCCCTGGCCTCCCTTTCATTTCCTGGGACCCATGCAGTGCCAAGGGGCTGCGCAGGGTTTGTGGGTGGGCTCTACAGCCTGGGCTGTGCCTTGGTTTGTCCCCACATCTCCCTCCTCCCACTGCCCCCACAACTAAACATACTCAATATATTAATAGTTTTTAAATCAAGACTAGGGGAGAGAGGAAGAAGAATGGTTGTGTTTGAGGGAGGTGATGTGTCTGACAAAGAAGGAAACAGTGTCTCCTGTCCCTGATGTGTTTGATGACTAGAACAATCTCAATCTCTGCCATCAGCAATAATAAAAGAGCCTTACCACAGGGAAAGAGCTGGAATCACGAAAACCAAGGAAGGATTTTCAGCAAGACCCAGGACCAAACCAAATAATATGAAGAAAACCAGAGAGTGAGATGTAGATGTAGTTCATAGCTGTTGATCCACAAGCGAAGTGGGGATCCAACCGAAGACCCTGATCCTGCAAGGGCCTGAGTGCCTCCTGGAAGGTACCTTCAGTTCCTGTTGATGCCAGTGGGAGTGGAGGGCACACGTACCTTACAAGGAGTAGACCCCAAGAGACTGAGCTAATGGAATGTCACTCTTTATTACACAGTGATCTATGTTTATTAAGACAATGTGGGTGACACAGATACCCTCATAATCATTCATTTTGTTGCTAAATCACTGACTTCAGGTAAAAGCCTATTTGGTACTGAAAGTCATCCGATGGGTTTAAGAAATCCTGGATTGCCATTAACTAAAGCAGCCATGTGACAGTGTGGGTAATTAGTGGTCAGGATATCATAGAATCATAGAATATCAGGGTTGGAAGGGACCCCAGAAGGTCATCTAGTCCAACCCCCTGCTCGAAGCAGGACCAATTCCCAGTTGAATCATCCCAGCCAGGGCTTTGTCAAGCCTGACCTTAAAAACCTCTAAGGAAGGAGATTCTACCACCTCCCTAGGTAACGCATTCCAGTGTTTCACCACCCTCATAGTGAAAAAGTTTTTCCTAATATCCAATCTAAACCTCCCCCCCTGCAACTTGAGACCATTACTCCTCGGTCTGTCGTCTGCTACCATTGAGAACAGTCTAGAGCCATCCTCTTTGGAACCCCCTTTTAGGTAGTTGAAAGCAGCTATCAAATCCCCCCTCATTCTTCTCTTCTGCAGACTAAACAATCCCAGCTCCCTCAGCCTCTCCTCATAAGTCATGTGTTCTAGACCCCTAATCATTTTTGTTGCCCTTCACTGGACTCTCTCCAATTTATCCACATCCTTCTTGTAGTGTGGCGCCCAAAACTGGACACAGTACTCCAGATGAGGCCTCACCAATGTGGAATAGAGGGGAACGATCACGTCCCTCGATCTGCTCGCTATACCCTACTTATACATCCCAAAATGCCATTGGCCTTCTTGGCAACAAGGGCACACTGCTGACTCATATCCAGCTTCTCGTCCACTGTCACCCCTAGGTCCTTTTCCGCAGAACTGCTGCCTAGCCATTCGGCCCCTAGTCTGTAGCGGTGCATGGGATTCTTCCGTCCTAAGTGCAGGACCCTGCACTTATCCTTATTGAACCTCATCAGATTTCTTTTGGCCCAATCCTCCAATTTGTCTAGGTCCTTCTGTATCCTATCCCTCCCCTCCAGCGTATCTACCACTCCTGCTAGTTTAGTATCATCCGCAAATTTGCTGAGAGTGCAATCTATACTATCCTCCAGATCATTTATGAAGATATTGAACAAAACCGGCCCCAGGACCGACCCCTGGGGCACTCCACTTGACACCGGCTGCCAACTAGACATGGAGCCATTGATCACTACCCGTTGAGCCCGACAATCTAGCCAGCTTTCTACCCACCTTATAGTGCATTCATCCAGCCCATACTTCCTTAACATAGATATCTTAACATAGAGAGTCTCTCACAAGTATAAGTGAAAACATGGATAGATATTTTCCTTAAATTAGTCACAATCCAGGCCAAAAGATTTTAGCCCAGAGTAATTTCTATTAAAGTTGCACCTGTATATTTACATTCCAACTTCCTTTCTTGCAAGCTAAGTTCTCATTCAAAAGAATCTTGCATATGTAATTATTGGAATAGTACTCAATATTTCTAATTTGGAAGGATGGAGGGCTGAGTTGATCTTGCCAGGATTTGAACCTATGGTTCCAGGGACTCTAACACGCATGCTTTGGTAGGGATCATCTTTTTGATCTCTGTTGTATATCACCTAGCACAATAGGATTCTCATCCATTCCTGGGGCTTCTAGGTGCTACCACAATGCAAACGATAAAGAATAATAATTGGTCTACTGGTAGGGTGAGCCCTGTTGCAAAACAAAAGACTGTGGCATTTCCCTGTCTCTGTCAGCCACTTTGTGTGTGTGTGTGTGTGTGTGTGTGTATTTTTCTGCTGGGAGTCCTGCAGAAGTACTTCGCTCATAGTGAGTAGTACACTTTTACTTTATGGACACTATATGTTAGAACAAAATAAAAGCACATTCAAACTAGCTCTGTTCAAGTTCCTTCAAAGTGATGTTGAACACCGTGAGTCTGAAGGACTCACACTTTGCAAAGTCATCACATCATGCAACAATTCACCAAGGTTCGTCGTGGATTCTTCATCACTGCCAATTTTTAAATCACGATTGGATGTTTTCCTAAGAGATCTGCTCTAGGAATTATTTTGGAGAAGTTCTGTGGCCTGTGCTGTGCAGGAGGCCAGACTAGATGATCACTGTGGTCCCTTCTGGCCTTAAAAATCTATGAATCTATGCATCAGAATGCACCCTGATGATGTCGTCAGCCTAAAGAGCCCTCTCACTTAAAGTCTGGGAGAAAGGATAAACTGCTTAAATTTCCCGCCCCCTGTATTCCATTCATGAAGTGTTGGCTCTGCTGGGCTGGCATCTCAGTAGTTATCTCACCTTGTCTGTTTTGGGTTTGCTCAACCTTATAGCTAAGCCCTCATCCCCTTTACATTTGCCCAACACTGCTCAACAGTGACTCTGTAAATCAGTTAGAGAGTGGTGTTGAGAAACACAGAAGAGAAAATTCCTCCAGTTCATTTACAAAGAGCGTGGCTAAAATGTGGTGCATGAAGTAGGAGAATGGGGACATCCTTAAGGGTCTGACAGCGATGCGCAGGGTGCCCCCAGAGCATGATATCTCAGCCATGCATAGTTCACCCATCTTGAAAAAGGAAGCATCTCAGTGATGAGAGAAAGCGAAGGGGACCACATGCATAATGAAACCATGCTATGAATAATGAAAGTACCATCTATGGTGCAGGTATCCTTTTCTGTCTGAAATCTGGGTATTTCATTTTTAGTTTATTTTTAATAAAGAAATTGCAAATTATGTAATATAGATGTACACTCTCATTAGGGCCTGGAGTAATTTTCCTAACTGTTCAGAAAACATCTCCAAATGATGGGTTTATGGCTGAAAATACAGCACACGTGAGCAACATCACCGCGGTTATAATGCTGTGTCACTGAAGCAATACTTTAGTTGTCAGACTAAACTCCCAAATCCCTTACCAATACCCCTGAACTCTCAAGGGGTAGGCAGAGCAGTTTTGTCCTTACATAACATCATTTATTATATAAGTCACAGTTACGTGTGTCTATATTGAATAGTTATAAAAAGGTTACAGCTGAACCTTTATGAGCAGGCAAAGAGTAAAAATATAAGTTGTTAGAGTGCGCTGGATTGGCCTCCTGTACGGCCAAACCTCAGTCCCTCAGCACAGCCTAAGTATATAGGCTACACACAGGAATGTTCAATGCAGCTCACAGCTGATCCATACCAGAGCTGGATTAACTCTCCTGTGGGCCCGGGGCTATTAGATTTTGGGGGGCCCCTGTATACAAGTTTTTTCCTAATTTAAAACAAAATTATCACAACTATGGCACTGAGGCTATTAACGCTATATTAAACTTACCTTTTAATTAACATAAACCTGTCCTGTGGTTACATTTCAGTCTTAAAACATGTAGAATATAGTTAAGTTAATTCAAAATAGCCTACTTCTTACTTTAGAACAGCTGTTACACTAGTTTCTTTCTGGGAGGGAGTTTGAGTGCAGGAGGGGGGCTCCAGGCTGGAGCAGAGTGCTAGGGTGCAGGAGAGGGTGAGGGGTGTGGGTTCTGGGAGGGAGTTTGGTGCAGGAGGGGATTCTGACCTGAGGCAGGGGGTTGGGGTGCAGGTGTAGGCTCCGGCTGGGAGGTGTATACAACAGGTGGCTCCTGGCCGGCGGCGCAGCTGGGCTCAGGCAGGCTGCCTGCCTGCATGCCGTGGCCACACGCTGTTCCCGGGA